ACCTCCGGTTATCTCGTCAAGATGGGCACTGGTGCTATTTCCTGGCAATCTCGCCTTCAATCCATCGTCGCCCTCTCCACCACAGAAGCCGAATACGTCGCTGCTACCACTGCTGGCCAAGAGATCCTCTTTCTTCGCAACCTGCTCACTTCCTTTGGTTATTCACTCGACTCTCCCTCTACGCTCTACATCGACAATCAGTCTGCACTTCAAGTGGCGAAGAATCCCGAGCACCATGGGCGTATGAAGCATCTGGACTTGCGGTTCTATTGGTTGAGGGATGAGGTGGAGAAGGGGACGATCCGGATGGAGCATATAGGGACGGATGAGATGCCTGCAGACCTTCCGGCTAAACCCTTGGCTAGGGCTTAGGGCTTGAGGTCTGCCTCGTCTGGAGGGAGTGTCCGGAGTATTACGACGAGACAGAGGTTTCCTGGTATTTTGCAGAGCTCCGGATTCCGCGCCTCGGGATCCGCCGCTCTGCCTCCCATTTAGCCAGTTACTTTTCCAACTGTATAGTAGACCGGTAAGCGCCGAAGCCTCTTAACTTGTGGAAAGCGTCCTAGACGGAAATTCCCAAACCGTTGAACATCAAACCGTTTATACGTCCATGCTCCAGGAAAAGGAGGCCTCGCAGACTCGAAGAAATCACGGATAGTGTAAAAGCGGTGCATATTGAAGATGGGCGATGAGGACTTGCTCGGCGAAGGCGAGGTTGGTATACCTGCACTCCTCTCTATTTCTTATGTCTTTGGCAGCTTAGTGACATATAATAAGCCTTAGCCTACTGGTGCGTACCTTGAACCTTGATAAATATTCCTCCTCTTCAAGACATTCAAGCGAATATTTCCATTTTTGGATTCAGTGGTATGTCATAGATGAGGATATGTCAATCTTGTAATATTGTTTGCATCTTCGTTGTTGAGAGGCTCTGGAAATCATCGAAAGATACTCAAATGCACGACATTTCAGGGCCGTCTGGTATGGCGGATTCCACTGGACAACGCTGGAACAATCTGATTAGCAAGTTGGCTTCTTCCTTCCGTGGGACCGAAAGCGCCATGTGGCTTTTTCGTTCTCACTTCCATCATCTAGTTTCCTCTTTTCAGCATCTAGCTTCCTCTTGTGTGTATATGTTTGGAGGCACTTTCTATCTCAATAAATCTAGCATGATACCTAATCTACGCAATAAGTCTGGGCACGGAACAATAATCTTTCTGCGGTAGCAGTGACTCTTCAGGCATAAGTGCAAACATCTCTGGGCTGTTTTTTTCTCATTTATTTACTCCTGCACCCTCAAAGTCGATATCTGTGTCATCTTCTGGCACCTTCACATGCGATGATCCATCCAGGCATGGCTCTACTTAACCATACTCTTATCCAGACACTCAACCTTGGGGCAGTGGGGTGCCGGCCGGTGCCGGTATGCCGGACCAATGCCAGGTGGCCTGGTGCCCGGCGCCACCCATGTCCTTTTGCCCCACCCTCAAGCTGCCTGTGTACTCTGGCCATAAAGCCTTCTCAGTAAGTTCTCCACATATCTTCTAGATGGATAACCAATAGCATGTCCCTGTGCCAGTCAATTCTATTCGCAGTGCTCATGCAGATCTGTGCCGTGCAGTTGGTTTTTCTTTTCAAGTACAGACAGGAGACATTGCAAAGTTCAAGCAGTATGCCCGTGACTGTGTGCGTCTCCAGGGTCTTCTCAATCTTGTACGTCTTCTTCCCTGGTTTTATTATCAAGACATTCTACTCAACAACAAAGGTACGGATGTGTAACAACTTGCTGGATACTCAGCACACTGCATTATTCTCACAGGACGGATACGACTGTATCAGCAATAACCTCTCCGCTATACCAGATGCTGTCGAGGATGCCGCTCGTGAAAGCTATGATCCTCCCGACGCTGTCTACGACATACATGACCCTGAAAATCCTCAGCCAGACCCATCCATTCCAGTTCTCTCCACGACAAGACGCATACACCCTGGTGGGTGTGGTGCACCTCGCATCAACATCGAATGTGATCTCCTGGCCACACTCCTTGAGTTCCGCACCCTCACGGACATAGGGGAGATGTTTAACTAGACTGAAGGAAATTCTGGATATGTCCTGGGAATGTGGCCTGAGGCCGTACAGGAACACGCTCGAAACAGGCACTCACCACATCGCTCAAGTGTCCTTCCACCACTTCAACACAGCCTCAGAGTAATGCGAATTTTCCTTACGTTTCCTCTTACCATCACTGATCTCTACCGCAGCCTCCTCCGCTTCCTCTGGTTCGTCATTTGACTCCACGGCAACATTGGCAGAGACAGCGCCATCAGAACCAAAGTTGACCGGTGTTGGTGGCCAGCTATGACAGCACCAATGACAGCAGAAGAAAGATTGCTATCGTCCTCGAGTAGAGCATCAATTGTACCTTCTTCACAATCTCGGGCTGGTTCAGGGTTGTGTACACAGTCCATACCCACTCCACACTGGCATCACGAAGCACCCTGAGCTTCTTGTCCAGCTGGATCTTCTCTATCTTCCGATTCAATTGCTCCAACTGTCATGACCTTTCATCATTTCCATGCCTTTTCTATTATTTCCTGGTGTGTGCCACAGTTGGGCCATACTTTTCTGAGTTTCTGTGCCACTGTGGCCTGGGTTTGGTTGTGTTTGGTCCTGGCTAGTATATAAACCTACCTACTTCCTGTTCTGTACTCTAGTCTTGAGATCATCAATCTTCCCCCTATACAACCTTTTCCTCGCCCTTGATGTGTGTTTCTGAGTGCGAGATCCTCTGCCAGCAACCCCTCTTCATAGGATATGGTTGTTCTGGTGTGGTCGTGACACCAACACTGAATCCATGACGTGGGAATGGTATGACTTTTTGCAGGAATGCTTAAAGATACACTGATGTGACCTCGCTGTGCCAAGGAACACTAGAGTCCGAGCGGAGGCACGCAGGAACAAAACAAGCACAAAGTGTCTCTGTTGGAGAATGAGAAAACGGAAACCCTAGCTAAGGTAGTGAGAGTAAGAGGGGAAAAGGAAGCCTGAGGGAGACTAGGATAGTGAGCAGTCTTAAGTACATGCGAGCGAGTCCAAGTCGATCGAAGTCAGAACGGAACGGAAAGAACAGTCTCGGACTTCCAAAACCGGAAGATCCCGTGTGTAGTGTTGTCAGGAATAGAAGCTCAGAGGGGGCTGATGGCCCAGCACACACAGACACAGACACTGAGATGGGGTACAGAAACAAGGGTAAGGGTATGTACATGGACGAGTTTTTGCAACCTAACCCTAACCCTAAACTGGGAGAACTCCGAACTGTGCCACAGTGGCCCCACAAACGTCCGCCACAACCACAACCAGACAAGTGTCGAGATGTGGCGGTCGTAACCTTGTACGAAGGTGCGAGGTTACAGCTGCATGCCGACATTGCAATAATATTGGGGTACGTCTTCTTCGTCCAATTCCTGAACTCTTTGGATCGGTGGACTGACCAGACTTCAATTTACCACAGTGACTTTTGTGTTTCAGGAAGGCCGACTTCCTTTTTTTGGAGTGCAAAATAGAGAGTGATGATATTATCCACGAGTGACCACATCGTCTCTTGATTCGACCAGTACATGCTTGTTTTTGCTGGTTGAAAGAGAAAGCCAGCTTTGACTGCTTTGTCGTAGTGGGGTGCCTTTTGTGGTCGGTGTGGCCAAAGTAGAGTGACTGCAATGGCAACATCTTGCCACTGTTCAAGAGAGATACGACAACTGTGAAAGCACGCTTCTCATCCAACCCGACCGTCGTAACTTGCTTGGAGCCCGTCTTTGCCCATATCCCTGAGCGTAGACAAGCTATGTTGGGTCACTATTCACGATCAATGCTGATAGTATGTCCTCCTTGATCGTCCATGCCATCCCCAGGAAAGCCTGCTCACAGATATCCTCCCAATTGTCTAGCACAGGGCATGCCATGAGTACCAGGACCCGTGAGTACCTGCAACAGATACTTGTAAGGCACACCATCGGGTACCTGTATCCGTGGATACAGATACTCGTTCCCACGGGTGTGCGCATGGATACAGGTCTGATGCTGGGGCTCATAGGTACTCGTGGGAGAGTACCTGCCATATTCGTCATTTCCAGGCCGGAGCTTTCCGGAGGCCAGATGTTTGTCCAGTGACTCTCTCTCCTCGCTCTCCTCCTCACTCTCTCCCACTTCCCCGAGTGTACACCACTGTGTGATGGAATTGTCATGTCGTGTCGCCGTCAATGGTGGTGCTGCTCATCCTGTGTACTTGTTTCTATAAGGATCTCGTGGGTCTTTAAGTGAATGAGTTTGGAGTCCCAACCCCTTGCCGTCGTAAAATCACTCGTTCTCGCTCAATACCGCGTACATTTCTGATGTAGTACCATCAATCAACGTGTCTTGATCCCCTGCATCGGGCCCTGTATTTTGTTTCATGAGAAACGGCCCGCTTGTCGTTGAGAACGGCGGTGTTGACCCCAGTGAGTGCCCATCACCCCTCCAACCGTACAAATGCTGGTTCTCGTTCAAATGAGCGCACATTTGCGATGTAACTGGATAGATCAATGCACATCAATGTCCTGCATCACCCCCGGTATTTTGTTTGATGAGAAACGACCCGCTTATCGTTGAGAACGGCGGTGTTGACCCTGGTGAGTCCCCATTACTCCTTCAACCGTAAAAATGCTCGTTCTCACTCAGTTTGGCACGTATTTCCGATGTTGCATGGTCAATCGACACATTTGGATATCCCACATCGCCCCCTGTCCTTGGTTTGATGCAATTCATCCTGCCCGTCATTGAGAACGACAGTATTGACCTGATAAGTACCCCTATACCCCCTTCCCCAGCTCATATTTGTTATGGCCGGGCTTAAGCTGAGCTTAAGGGCGGCGTCTGTTATGGACTATCTTTTTCGTCTTCTACTTGTCTCGACATGTCTGATACCGCAGGAGAC